TTATCATCCAGTCCTGCTTTTCCTTGCTACCACAACTTTATTTCTGTTTCTCTACAAAATGCAGTCAGCATCCCTGGATGCTTAAACCTGGCATTCCTCAAATTTTCTTCTAGGGAGTAGGGAATTTGCCTGGTAGGAATGCGGGGCTAAGCACGCTTATGGCTGTGCTTTCTGCAGTATGAAAAGGTGCTTGCTGTCTTTCCTTGTCTTTCTCTAGGACCTTTATTGGCTTGGAGGTCTCTGCTGGGCATTTCCAGCTGCTGGAGCTGGTCTCAGAGGTGGACAGAGTTTTAGAGGAATTTGACCTTCCCACATTCTACAAGGTAAGGCATTTCCTTCTTACCTCCCTACCAGTCTGGACATGCCAACTGGTTCCCTGCAAGATGTTCACTCAAATAAACAGGAGCCGGAGTGTAAGTCACAGTAGCTGCCCCACTGTGCTTGGAAGCAGGGTTGTCCTAGGATAGAAATGGCACTGGGGGACTGAGGATGGTGTTTGTGCCTTTGCCTTGGGCAGCTTTCTTGGGTGTCAGTCCAGGCTTTTTGTTTGGTGCTAGCTTTGGGGACAGGTTTGGGATTTTGAAGGACCAAACCATGATTTATCTGTCTCCAGACCTGAGCAGGGAGCTCGTGTGGGTTATGTAGAAGTGATCCACGTGCCTGCCCTGGGACAAGCCTGAGAGGTTCTCTGTGCAGCTGGAAAAGCTGCTGCAAAGTTGAGCACAGGGAGGCTGAGAACCAGGCAGCCTTGCCCACTGCTGTCCAAAAAGGCTGGAGTGGGGAGCCCAGGACTCATCCTGTCTCCAGCACTGTCCATATCAGCTCTGCAGCTGTTGAGTTGTCAGAGAGGACTCCCAGCTTTGGGATCCTCCAACCTCTGCGATCCCAGACTGGGCAGCACCACACCAGATCTCCCACTGTGGCTCCATACGTCAAAACCTCCTTTATCCCTCACATTCTGATCCTTGTTTTATCTTCAGGATCCATCATTCCACATCAGCTTGGCCTGGTGTGTCGGAGACCTGTCTGGCAAGCTGGAGGGGCAGTGTCTGCGGGAGCTCCAGGTGTGTCCCCAAACCCCAGGTGTGGAGAGCAGGGGGAGGGCAGAACTGGAGTCCAGCCACGTCTCCCTGCTGAGGGTGGAAGTGGGAAATTCTCTTCACCGGGCAAGACAAACTTCAGGGGGTTGAAAGAAGAAAAGCTTTTGGGGGGAGCATGAGTTAAATCACTGTTCAGAGGGAAGTCAGAGGCTTCCAGCTGCAAATGGACTCGTCTCTGATTTGGTTTAGAGAGGGAGCTGCTATCTCCATCCTCTGACAGATCTGTCCTGGTACTGACTCCTGCATCTGTTTTCCAGGACATTGTGGACGAGTTTGAGGACTCGGCGCTCCTGCTGCGTGTCCAATGGGAGCAAATCCGCTGCAAATCGGGGAACAAGTACTTCTCCTTCCCCTTGAGGTAGGGTCTGGTGGGGCTGTGCATTTCAGAGCCTCGAAGAGCCTGATGCTCAGCTAAGGACTGTTCTCCAACACAGCCCTGAGTAGCACGGGCTGTCACGCACCTCCCATGCTCTTCTTGCCTGCTCAGCGTCTCTGGGTTGCTTGTGGCCTCAAGTCAGGCTACTTGCAAGTTCGAGTTGCTGGCTGAAGAGATGTGTGTCTGTAGCAGATTTCATTCTCGCTGCTGTATGTGCTGCAGTCAGCACTGGTGGTTCCAGACATCCCATGGTCGCTAATTTTGCTGATTTTTTTTTTTTTAAAGAAAAAAAATCTCTGTAACAGCCATAGATGCCTTATGGGAAAGAGGAAGAAGGTAGCGTGGGAAGCTGTTGCTAAAGGGAGAGTGTCTCACACGGTGGGAAGTAGCACTACCAGATTGTCAGGACGCTCTGAGCAAGCTTTTAGTAACAAGAGGCAAGGACACGGAGCTGGATTCCCTCACCAGAGCATCTCCCTACTGAAAGCCAGCTTGGACAAGCTCCTGAGTCATGTTGTGTCCCTCTCACACTGCTACTGCCTCTGTAGAGACATTTCATTGTCTGATCCTTTTGCCAGACAACAAGAGCTTGCAGCCAGGTGTGGGTGAGCCCTAGAGTGGGCAGTGTCAGGGTTTGCCTGAGCTGGGAGGGCAATGCCCACAGGTGACTCAAGGGGGTGGCAGCTCCTGCTCAGGCTCCACGTTTTTTCCCATGGGATCAGCACCCCGGCTGCCACGATGACCCAGGGAACTTGCAGGCTGGCCATTGTTCCTTGAGAGAAACTCCTTTTTAATGCTTTTGTTCCTGCGGGGGGTTCGGCTGCAGCCTCAGGTGTTCACAGCAGGATGTTGATGTGCTGCCCTGAATCTTTTATCCAGTGTCTGTCCAGGACTTCTGAGCAATAAAAATCTGTCTCCTTGTGTCATAAAATTGTGTCTGTGGTGTATTACAGCCGTTCCCTTCGAGAGATCCCCACCTCCTGCAGGCTGCCCATGAGGCGATGCCTGGACTCGTGTGAGCTCCTGGCTTTGTGTCTGTGGGAGCATCTCAGCACAGCCACAATTTGTGCCCCTGGGAGAGCTGCCTTTCAAAATCCTTAACATAAACCTGTGAAGTCTGTAGCCAGTTGGTTTCCGGGATAGGGAATCTGCATGATAAGACGTGTGATTACACCCCAAGTTTTCTTTTGGGGAAGGAAAAACAAACAGAGATAAATTTAGCCCCTGGGGACTTCCAGTGAAACCGGCTCTGGCATGACCGGTTTCTCCCGGGTTAATGCTCAACCCGCCCTCCCCCCTGCCGCAGGGCCCGGCCTGGCACAGCACCC